TCTCTCTCTCTCTCTCTCTCTCTCTCTATTAACGTCCTGTGCCTACTTCTTCTGCTAACTTTATTTTTTATTTGATTTTTTTGCGAATTTTGCATTTTCTAGCAAAGCGTCATACATCTCTTCACAGTCTCAGGCAAACGTGCCCGACACAGTTTTTGATGCTTTTGAAATGTCCTCGCATAAGTAAAGCCCCTCCAGTGCTGTGTGAACTGTCTGGCAAAGCAAGTCGCACTCCCATATAAAATTAAATTACACACATTCATCCACACCGAACACACTCTCACTGACCAAATACAAAATACTCGATTTCTGTACTAGTGGAAAATATGATGATGATAATAATGAACACACGAAAGTATTGCTAAAGAAAAGTGAACACATGCAAACACTCATTCACGAGCTATTTAAAATTTTGACACACGTCCCCTACGTGGAGACGAGTGTCAAGACGAAGGTGAACGTCAGTGAGGTAAGTTTTTTGTTCATCGTCCTTTCAGCCACCTTTTACCATGTTTATTAATGACACATTTTGTCCCTTCCCTCACTTAGGTTTTCCTGGATCTGATGCGGGACATTCACAAGATCAAGATGACCAGTCAGAGTGAGCAATCTTCAGGCTGTTTGTGCTTCTCCTGGTAATGCAGGTGCAGACCACCAAATGAGATTTTTTTGTTTTGTTCCCCAAATTGCCTCTCAAATCGCTCAACTCGCACACACAGTTTTTTTCCTTTGTCACACTTTTTCATTCATTTTCTTGTACATAGACAACTCTCTTTCTCTCTCCCATCCACACACACAACCAGACAACTTTCTCACAAACATCATAGTTCCATTGTTCTCTTTTCATTTGCTTTTCATTTACTTTTGTACATTTTTGTAAAACAAGCACAAAACATCAATTGCACAGCACCTTTTTTTGATTTTATAAAACCAATATATGACAACTTTTACATTTTACTGACACTTCCCCTTCAGTTCAGTGGTAGAGGCAATTTGAAACACTACAAAACTTTTAAATTTTTTTGGTGCTGATGAGGATGATGAATTTGCATGATTTTGAGAAAAGCTCGGCGCAAAGAGCGGGTCAGACTGAAGAAGCGAATTCGCCGTTTCAAAGCTAGCTGTAGGATGCTCAATTTCATCGAAGGAAAGTAAACTGGAGTAAGGCTGATCAGGAGTTTCATCCTTCGGCACTGAGTCGTAGCGGTGGTCAGCAATAAGCAGGTCGACATTCTTATAAAGGCAACATCTCCACCAATTGAGAGCTCTTCCTCAAGTCGATGCCTTCTGCGACACTGTCTGAAATAGTGAAGAACACCTCTGCACTGCTGCACGTTGACTGCAGCGACTTTACCGCCAGCTACCAGGTGGTCTACCAGTTGGCAGCAGGTGCACTCAAACGATGTCGCCTCTTTCGCTCCGACAATGCGCCCATCTGCGATGAGGACGTCTCTCCGGCGGAGCACTACAGTTTCATCAGCAGTGGCAGCTCAAAGTCCACCGCCGGCGGCTTTCAGCTGCAAGAGAGCTCACAGGGAGGAGGAGGAGGAGGAGGAGGAG